CCTGGTGGCCGATAATATTCCAATAATGGTTCGACCGATTCTTTTATGATAACCTCTGCTGCCTGAGACGAACATTTCAAGAAATTCATTTGACGGGAAACCGCAGAAAAAAATGAAAAATAGAAAATAGAAACTAGAAAAATCAGAACTACTAATTTTGACGAGTCAGAAAGAAGAAAAACGTACATCTGCGACAAATGGCCAGAGTTTGCTCAGTTGTTTGTTCAGCCATTTCACCTGAAAGTGTATCGAAAACAGAATATCAAATGAACCTAATTAGTAATGTTTTATTATTATTACCAACAAAAAATATATGAAAACCCCTGTCACAAAAAAATCTACGAAAACCTCATAATAGTGACACTGATTTTGCACATGTTTATTTTCAGCTAAATGATTTCTTGAATATCAAACTTTACGATGCAGAGCAACTTTTCCAAAAGGCAATGTACCAAGTGAAAATGCAATACAAGTCGCATTACAAGAAGTCGTTTCAGCTGGCTTTCGTAACTATGATTCGATATCTTCGAAGAAAAATCGATCAATACTTATCTAGCATATAAACACAAAAATTTGAAAATTATAACGCCAAACAAACGCATAAATAGACGAGGCGAAAACAATCATCCGCCGGAAGATATCTATATCAAATGTTCATCACTTTCAATTCAAACACAATCAGAAAAAAAAAACTAAGAAGAAGAAATATTCGAACCTGCTCGAAAACAGGAAACGAAATCCATTCAGGAAAACTCTCACCGCAAATTTTCCGTAGATCGTCTCTTTTCAGTGAGCTCAGTAATTTAATATCAGCTGCCTGTTCAATCATACACAATTATAAGATTCCAATACATATTCTGAATTTGCATTTTTTAAAAATTAATTTTAAAACAAAAACGAATTGAAGAAGTAATTTCCAGAAATTGAAGGAAATAAATAAATTAATTAAAAAAATAAAAAAAAAAAAAAAAGAGAGGAAGAAGAAGAAGACCTTAGAAATACGCTTAATGCTGCGATGAGTCATCATGTACTTCCAACCCGCCATTAACGCGATCCCGAGCAGCATCCCCATCACCATTCCCGATATCAACCCCATTTCTCCGATTTCTCAAACTCCGATTTCCTTTTCCTTGTCCTGTTCCTTTTCCCCCAAACGAAAAAGGAATTTAATTTTAATTTTTTTTTCACACAAAACTACTAATCGGAGATTTGCGTTACGAAAAAACCACAGAGGAATAATTACTGTTGCATTAACTATTTCAACAATCAATAAATCAATTTTTTTCACCACCAATATGCGAACCGGCGTCGATTCATTCCATGCGTCGTTGTCGAACGTGATTTAGATGAAAAAAATCGATTGAATTTTGGATTTCTGGGTCAAGGTGTACTGTGCGTGTATTTTGCCGCGAGCCAACTCACCGAGTTGTGTGTATGTATATATATATCTCTGTGTTTATACTACTATTCGTCATTTACTGATTTACTCTCTCTCTCTCTCTCTATCTTTCTCTCTCCTCTCAAAGTCCTCCACGTGTCGCTTTTACGTGTTTTACTTTGATTTTTCAGAGATTGGTAAACAATGAATACGAAATTATTATTAATTAATTTCTCATTTTTCCAATCAGTGTTAACGTTGATATTTTCAAATCAAATTAATTAATTACTCAAATTAAATGCAATAAAAAAGAAAAAGTCCATCTGGAAGGAATTTGAACTGTTATATAAATAAGAAAGTCAACGACGTCGTGTCAGTTACTTGCTTAAAAGGAGGAAAGAAATAATCAATTTATAAAATGATTTCAAAACTAAAAATTGGGGATCAATGAATTAATTTTTTATTTATTCTTACTAAAATTAATATTTTGTTACTTTAGTTGCAAAATTGAAATGTAAATAAGAATGAGCTGGAAATTGTTTTGACAACTCTGACAAAACTTTCCAAATTTGGGTTTACAATTTGGGAATGTAGAGTTTTTGTTATTTAGTGGGCAGCCACTCCTGTCTCGAGGTAATCGGCAGCATTAAATTATTATTATTATTATTATTATTATTATTATTATTATTATTATTATTATTATTATTATTTGCATGCTAAGAATTTACCAGCGGCCCAATACAAAAAAATCAATTGGGCCAGACTAGGGGTGGCAACTTGGATCCGGTTCCATGGATCTGATTAGATCCGGTTCGAACCATATGGAACCGGTTTAGATTAAATCTAGTTGGAACAATTTGGATCGGATCAAGTTGAATTTTTTTTTAAAACTGAATCCACGTGGATTCACTTTAGATCTATTGAAAGTTCAACTAAAAATGAAGTGGGCTATGTTTGATCCAATCATAACCCAATTAAATACTAAAACAATTTTCTCAAAAAAAAAAGTCAAATATTATTTTAATTGTAATTTGAATCGCTCAAAAATTCTCAAGTCGTTCTTAGATTTGAGTGTGTGTAAAAAGTGTGTATGTGGATGTGAGTGTGTGTGCGTGTGTAAAACAGTGTGTGTATGTGAGTGTGTGCGTGTGTGTGTAAAACAGTGTATGTGTCTGTGTAGAAACTTTGTGCGTATGTGAGTGTGTGTGTGTGTAAAACAGTGTGTGTGCGTGTGTGTAGAAACTGTGTGTGTGTAAAATAATGTGTGGGTGTGTGTGTGTGTGTAGAAACTGTGTGTGTATGTGAGTGTGTGTGTGTAGAAATTGTGTGTGTATGTGAGTGTGTGCGTGTGTGTGTGAGAGAGTTTATGAAAAGTGTGTGTAAAAAGTGTGTATGTGGATGTGAGTGTGTGTGCGTGTGGTACTGACATACATTAGATATATTTGTGCATGTACATGTGTCTGTGTGAGTGTGTGTGAAAGTGTGTATGTGTGTGCAAAAAGTATCTATATGTATGTGAGTGTGTATGTGAGTGTGTGAAAAGTGTGTATGTGGATGTGAGTGTGTGTGCGTGTGTGTAAAACAGTGTGTGTAGAAAGTAGAAACTGTGTGTGTATGTGAGTGTGTGCGTGTGTGTGTGTGTGAGAGTGTATGAAAAATGTGTGTAAAAAGTGTGTATGTGGATGTGAGTGTGTGTGTGCGTGTGTTAAAACAGTGTGTGTGTGTAAAAACTGTGTCTGTATGTGAGTGTGTGCGTGTGTGTGAGAGTGTGTATGAAAAGTGTATGTGAATATGTGTAAATGTGAAAGTTGAGATATTAAATCACATAAGTTGAAATATTAAAGCCTAAAAATTGAGATATTCAACCTATTAAGTGATGGGCTCAGTTCGAATAATTTAGGAAAATTTCAATAAGTAGCTCGCATGGTTACCTTTATCGGATAAATTTAGATTAGCAATATTTTTTTTAAGAGAACGACACCCGATGAGATTGGGGGGTTAGGCTTGACCCCCTACCTGTTTATAAACAAAATTTAAGAAGTACATAATGAGTTCGCTCAAATTGCTACTGCCCAACATATGGCTAATAATAGCAATGGACAAGCAAAAGACAATAGCTAACTAACAAAACGTTAAGAATACGGGCAAAACAGGTGGCCCAATTAATAAAAAAGGGCGGGGTGGGAATGATCATAGAAGGTCGGGGAAGACCAAGGTAGACCGTTGTTCGCCTCATCACAACAACCGAGGCTACTTAGACTTTCGCCAAAAATGGGCGAAACATGTATAATGACTGCGAAATAATGTGTGGCACCATTCGGCAAACAGTCTAGTTTTGATAGACCCAAACAATCCATAATCACCCCAACCCTTCCTAAAATGTAAAGTTCACGAAAATTCCTAAATTGCCAATAATATAAAAAGGTGGAAATATTAGCAATTGGGACGGATAATTATTTAATTAGTTAGTATGATTTTCGTTATGTAAAATTAGATCTTTCATTAACTCTTTTAAATTATGTGGTATTATTTGTGATTTGTCTATAAAACTTTTTATTTAATAAAATTAACATGCAGTTTAAAGATAAAATAGTTTTTTACTTTTTTAGTCACTCCTATTAAATTAATCTCAAGAGAAGATTGCTACTAATTTAATAAAAGAATGCATTTAATCTTGTCAATTGAACGTGCTAGCCCTTACTATTTAGCGTAGCAGTAAAAGCAAAGATTGGATTGCTACTAATTTAATAAAAAAAATAACATTTCATCTTATGAATTGAATGTGTAACCAGCGGCTAGTATTTAGTCAGTAAAAGTTTATAACGATTAACCAAACGAGCCCTAAAAATTTAGGATAGACTCATAACCCTCAACTCAAAATTCACTACCCCAATTTTCATGTGATTAAATCCGAAAAACAACAACAAAATTATTCCAAGGTCCCAAAAATCTAAACATGATTTGGACTCTCCATAACAAGAAATTTGTATACCCCACAAATAACAACACTATAATCATAACAAAACAAGAACCACCAAACACAACCACAAGAAGCTACTACCACCGCCAGTCCTCACCCCACCGTTCGGCCTCGTGGTCACCACGGGGACCGGGGGCGACGGCCCCTCGTCGGAGGGGCCCGGCGGCGGAGCGTAGGGCGGAGGAGGCGGCTGGTTGAGGTTCGGCGGGAGACCGAGACCGGTCGCCACCTTGATGGTGAAGGCCATACCATGCCGGCAGTGGATGCCATCACCAGCCGCCGAGAAGTAGTATTGAGTAGACGCGATGGTTAATGGAACGGATATGACAGTAGGGTTTCCGAGGCCGTCGCTGCCATTGTCGTACACGAAAGTATCGGTGTCTAATGAGTCGTCTATGCTGCAGCTTGCGAATGTCGTCTTGTTGTAGGTCTGGATCACCGATTGGTTTGTGTTAGTGTTGAAAACTGCACTCAGAAAAAAAAAAAACGAGATCGAGAATA